AGCAGGAAAGAGCACCCTTTTAAAGCTCTTCCATTGCACTGGCATCCAAATGGCACTTTCCCATCCCTAGAAGGTCTCCCCTAGGCTACAACCAAGACCAGGACCAGCAAGTTTCAGCTCAAAGGGAAAATAATGACTATCAGAAAAGGAGTGTACATGCAGCCTGGTTTTAGCTGCTCATGGAGATGCAAAAGCAGACAGCTCCCTGCTGCCAGCTCCTATTGCCCTTCACAGGGGAGAGCTGTACAGTTACGGGCAGGCACATCCTTCCCTTGCTTCCCCAGGCAGAGGAGGTCCAGAAGCAGTGGGCCCTGCAGCTCAGCTCGGCTCACATGCAACTGGCCCATAGCATCCCCTGGGTGGTGGAGGAAGTGAGCAGCAGGTCAGCAACCAGGTGGGTTTCAAGACCTTTTTAAAAAACTGTTCTCCATGGCACCTGGGCTGAGATTGAACTCAGGTGCACGAGTCAGCTTCTGGTTTATTTACCCCTTTACCCTCTCCCCCCCTGCCCTGGGGAAACTGCTTTCCTGCTTTTTTATGTCTCCCTCTTGCTTGGGCTGGGGAATTCACCAAAGTCCCCAGGCCTGTGCTTGCTCCTATGCAGGGGGGTGAAACACTCAGCAGCACCCTCCAGGCGCAGCCCCTCTTCCCCGTGCACCCCTGCTGCGTCCCAAGTCCTGCGTGAAAGCGTGCTTTAAGCACCCTCAGATTTCAGCATGAAGAAACCAGGCCAGGCAGGATTAGCCAAAAGCAAAGCCACAGCAGCCACCCACTATAGATGTGGGACCACGTTGGCACGGGCAGGATTAATCCACTGCAGCAAACGGAGAGGCAAAGGAGCCACTTTGTGAAACGTAGGGTTCAGCTGCCTTCTTGGCCTAACGCCTGCACACACAAACCGCCGCCAGCCCGTCAGAGAGCCCAAGTCTGTCAATTCGTATTTGAAAGACTGATTTTATAGAGAAAACCTGACATTTTACATCCCCCCTCTTATTCCTCTGTATGTTAATAAAACATGTTGGTGTTTGAAAGGAAAATCTCTGGGTGTTTCTTATTAAGCAGCAGGGGGTCTGCAAAGTCTGCTAAATACTTAATTGAGTGTCAGCAGGTTCCTTTGGTAACTGTAGACCTCCACTGAAGAGACAAGCGGTGTCCCCCCTGCGTAGAGCAAACCGGAAAGGTTCACAATCCACGGAGCAGAAAAACCCCTGCAATTTCATGCCATGTTATACTCAACAAAAGGCTTTCATGTGGCTAGCTGCCAGCAGCTCTGAACAAGGCCAGGGTTTCAGTGTTGTACCCTTTAAACCTGCTCATGAGGAGTGGTCTGGGCTTGCCTTTGTCTGCATT